GGGGGCGGCGGCGCGGGCAGCCATGGCCGGGGCAGGGGCGAGCTCGGAAGGGGCTCAGGGCGCCGCGCCCCGCGGGTCTGGGTCCGGAGCGGGCCGGGCTCCCGAGGTTACGCGCCCGGGTCTTCCTGCGGCGGAGCCGCCCCCCATCTCCCACCTCCCGGCCCGAGTCCCGTTCCGGCTCCGGCTCCCGGCTCCGGCTCGGCTCGGCCCGTGCGCTCGGCGGTGGCAAATGGCGGCTCCTTCCGGCGGCGGCGGCGGCGGAGACCCCCCCGGAGCGGCGGGCGGGAGGGGCGGGCGGGGCGGGAGCCGGGGAGCCGGTGAAGGATGGAGGGAGGGGCGGGGCGGGGAGGGGGAGCGGAGAAGGGGCCGCGGCTGCGCATCCCCGCCCTGCTCCGCACGAGCTGGGGTCCCCAGGGGCGGGGCGAGTGTGCTCGCTCCGGGCGGGTGGAGGCAGGGGAGTGGCCGAGGAAGGGGAGTGTGCGCCCCGGTTGGGGGAGAAGAGGTGTAGGTAGAGGGGTGGGGGGCCGAAGGGATCAGCATGGAAGGTAAGTGGTCTGCGTTGCAGGTGTACCCGGAAAGGCTTGTGCAAAATGAGAGTGCAAAGTAAACTGTGCAAGGGTCCGAGGTGTGAGGGACGTGAGTAAGCGAGGGACTCGAGCTCTAAATACTTTACACAAAAGACTGAAAAGTATGCAGGGCGTGGGCCTGTGGAAGAGAGGTTAGTGTGCAAGGAATGGAATGGGATTGAGAAACAGAAGCATTTGACTGTAACGTGTGAGAGTGGTGAGAGCAAGGGAAATCGTGTTCAAGGGATGGGTGTGTCTTTCCTGGTACCCTCTTGCCCTCTCCTCCGTTGCACCTCAGGCCCTGATACAGGCACACACGCTTAGCCCTTTATGGGAGCTCTGACCCTGAGAGCCCGTTCTACCGGTCCATTACATTTTTTCCTTCTTTATACTTACATCCTCCCTGTCATCCCCTTTGCAAAGGGAGAAGGGATTCCAGGGAAACCCACTGGGTCAAAAGGGCTGGAAAAAATTAATTATTAAAAAAGTAATTAATAAAAGTTAGGGGAGAGAGCCGGAGACCGCTAAATTAAGGCTCCTCGCTCACTAGAACGTGGTAGGGAGGGGACAGTCATGTTTTCATGAAGCATTCAGATGTTTTGGGTGGACAAGTGAATGAATCAGAAAAAGGGGCTGGGCCTCTAGCACACACGACGCACATTGTGAGGCTTTTGTTCTAAAGACCAAAAGCTGCAGTGGGTTTGTGTGAAAAGTGAGGCTGAGCTCAGGACTGCTGGTGTAGGGAGTGGTGTAACAAACTTACAGCTTTCCAGAACGCGCACAAACCAACCATCCTCGCAAAGTAGCGAGTAAAATATCACCTCTCCAGGCCTGCATCTTCTCTTACTACTGTTCCAGCTACCTGGGCCAGCAAGGGCTCAGACCTACAAGTACCAAAATGAAAAAAATGAGATACCTGCCCACATGTCTTCCATTTTGTCCTGTGTCATGATTAACATTTATCTTCAAATCTGAACTTTTACATTCTTAGCCAGATAAATAAAATGGGGCTGAGGATGTAGCTCAGTGGCAGGAAGCTTAGCTAGTGTGTGTTAAGCCCTGGGTTAGAGAAAACAGAATGGAAGGAGTAGCAAACCAGATAATGAAATGCTTTCAAATTTTATGACTAGAGGTGTAGCTCAGAGATAGAATAAATGCTTAAAATGGGCAAGGTTTGATCTCCAGTGCCAAAAAAAGACTTTGAGACAGTGTCTCACTATACAGTTCAGGCTGGCCTTGAGCTCACTTTGTAGCCTCAGCTGGTCTTAAACTTGCAAGGATGCTCCTGCCTCAGCCTCCTAAGTATTGGGATTACAGGCATGTGCTACCACTCCCGGCCTAAGAAAAAAAAATTATTATTATTTTTTGGCAGAACCGGGGATTGAACTCAGGCTGTTGTGCTTGCCAGGCAAGTGCTTATTCTACCGAGCTATCTCCCGGGCCCCGAAAAAGAAATTTTAAATGGCTTCAGATTTTAGACAATTTCTCATAAATGAGACTAATCCCTTACTCCCACACTGGCGAAGGGTAGGAGATAATGAGCCAATGAGACGAGGGATATCAGAAAACTCCCTTTGTCCACCTAGGGAGAGGTGGGTAGAGTGTCCACCTAGGGAGAGGTGGGTAG